GTGTAAAGAAAGGCACACCTGTTAATGGATACAGAAATAGTTTTGCAGGGTTTTGTTTTCTAGTGTCTTACTATTTTTATGGAGAAATTTCTTACAGAAAATGTGATTACATAGATCTTTTGAACGGCTACTTGTGTTTGTATTCCCGAATCTTAATAAGACTCTAGTCTTTTTTATGCTGATTTTTCAGTCTCAAGGCTGAGGAATGGGTGTGTATTCTTATATCTGAGCTGTTCAGGAGCTTAGTCTTCAAGGTGATCTACTTCTTTAGAATTAGTATTTAGCCAAAGCAAATTGCTTTCTTAAGAGAATAAGGAAGGACCCAGGAAAGTTAAAATTGGGTTTAAATTTACATAGGCTTCTTAATATTACCTTCTGAAAAAAAGTTTAAGAATTAAAAAAAAAACATACTTGAACATAGTATTCTTTCATGAAACATTTTCCCGATTGTCAGGTTGGGACTGTTAACAGAAATGAGAACCTGAGCTCAGGAAAGGAAAGAGGTTTGAATGCAAGGTCAGTCTGGTGCCTTTGGCTGAGCAGAGACTTTCTACCCTAACAACCTGACTTTTATTCCACTCTCCTGCAGCACCTGGGCTCTGTCAAAACCGATTCAGAGCTGAAATCTGCTCTTTTTTCAGACACTGACCTCGAGCCTGCCCCTGACAGCAGAGAAATGGGGCTTTTCATGATGCCCAGGCCCTGGCCTACCTGACCATTTAGAGAGTGCTGGCTCAGGCCAGAGAGAGAGCGGAGGGGGTTAAAGTGCTGGCCCCAGACATGGCCCGCCCCAGATGTGGCCCGCCACGCCCCAGATGTGGCCCCCCACAGTTGCTCAGCTTCACCGTTTCTTCTCTTTGTGCTTTGGGCACCAAGCTTCACTTTCTTGTGCCTCAGTTTCCTTATCTGTATAGTAGTGATCTTTTAGGATTGTTCAAAGGATCAAAAAATAGCATTTAAACAGTACTAGCAAATTACATCTCAATGATATTAGATCTGATTTGGTCAGGTTAGTAGTACTTTCACTTTCCTTTGTTTTTTTGTTTTTTGTTTTTTGTTTTTTTTGCTTTTTGGGTCACACCAAGCAATGCACAGGGGTTACTCCTGGCTCTTCACTCAGGAATTACTCCTGGTGGTGCTCGGGGGACCATATGGGATGCTGGGAATCGAACCCGGGTCGGCCACGTGCAAGGCAAACGCCCTACCCGCTGAGCTATTGCTCCAGCCCCAGTACTTTCACTTTCTGTTAAAAGTTTTCATTTTAAGATTGATTCCCAAGATTTTTGGGGGACTTTTTATTTTAGTAAGTAAGAGACATGGGCTGCTTCTCTTCTCCCAAGAAACCCTTTTCCTAAAGTGAGAGTCTGGAAAAGAATGACTTTCCTCTCTGTAGCATATTCTTAAACACACTCTCACACATAAACACACACACACACACACACACACACACCAACTTGCTTTCCTAAAAACCCCGAGGCCATGCAATCTGGCCAGAAAAGAAAGAAAGCCATTCCAAGATATTTAATTGTACAGGGAGCTTACAGGATTGATCGAGAGCTTAGCTTTTTACAATAGTCCAGTGAATAAGAAATGCTCCTGACAAACGATCAATGATAGGATAATCACTCTTTATCCCCCTCCTCATTCTTACCTTCTTTCTTTCAGGAGAACAGGGTTCAGAAGTCAAAAATCTTTATAGACGCCGCTTTTAAATTAAGCAGAAAATAGACATTGACATATTTGTTAATCTCCCCTAAATCATTACCAGGGCTGGCTGCTTTGCTGTACAAGGAGAGAGGGGCCCGAGAGTGCTAGACAAGGGTCTAACTGGCTTAGGAACAGCAGCCTTTTATTTTTAGAAAATAAAATTTAGAGAACTCTTTTTTTTTAATCTGTCTTGCCCCGCCCCCCCCCCAAACAAAGCATTCAAATCCCTGACTTTCTATGTGCATTTAAATATACTTTCATGTTCTTTATCTGTCTTTTCCTTGCTTTGATGCCTTTTGGAGGTAGGTCTTGAACTGTGATCAGAGGCATTACTGAAGGAATCAGACAAGGCAGCCTTGGGGAGATGGTCTATGATCTTCCTGCTCTCACAGGGGCCAGAGCATTATAGGTGTTTGTCTTGTTCTTTCTTTCAAAGCTCTAGAATAGCTTGATTGGGTAGATGAGACCTTTTTTAATTCAAGGCCACGTTTATCTGTCCTTTCAACTAGGTAAATTCATGGCTCTATTCCCAAAATGCTCTCTCACTGCCTTCTCCCTCTGCAACCAAGATTGAGCCATGCGTTTTTGTTGGTTTTGTTTTAGTTTGGGGGGCCCACACCTGACAGTGCTTAGGGGCTCCTCTGCTGAGGAGACCTTTGTGGTAGTAGGATTTGAACCCCAGCTTCCTGTGTATACAGCATGTGCTTAGCCCATTGAACTGCCTTCCTTGCCCCCTCAGCCTTGCTTTCATTGTCTAAAAAAAGGAACCAAACTCTTCAGCTGATTTCGCTCCCTTGCCTATTACTGAGATACCTGCTTCTCTGCCTTAGGTACCACTTCATGTGGGAGAACACAGGTTTCCAAGCTAGCCAGACCCAGGTATACTTTGCTACTCTTTTCGCAAGTCACTTTACATTTCAAAGCTCTTTTCTCATTTTCCAGAGTAGAGCAGATTGTTAAGAACCAAAGATGATGAATTTGTGCAACAACTTGGAAAAGACTCAGTAACTTGGGGTCAGAGCAGAAGTATCTGGCACACAGCCAAACTTTCCATTGGATACAGTTGCACAGGAAAGTTATAAGATCAGTACAAGGACGTCTGCATTTTCTCAGATTACCTACTATTAATATCTGGTCCCGTTTGCTGCGTTATTTCTGCATATTCCTGTGCATGTAGTTGCTGTCTCCAGAAGCATATACATTTACTTTGACCCATTTGAAAATTTTGTGACAGGGTGCTCTTGATTCATCTTTTTTTTTTTTTTTCTGTCTCAACCCTTAGAATCAAGCATTTTCCTAAGTAGTCTTTTTTCCTGGAGAAAGAAAAGTATAGTGTCCCTGTAGTCAAAGGATGGTCTCATTTCAGGGGGGAAAAAAAGTCATCTTCCTCCCATCAGTTCTCCAAGCAGGTCCCACTGGAATGGCTGGGTCTTCACCTCCCCTCCTAGTCATCATGTTCTTTACCAGCCTTGCAAAGAAAGCCACTTAGGGGCCCGAGAAATGCAGCAGGTAGGGCATTGGACTTTCACGCAGCTGACCTGAGTTTGATCCTTGGAATCCCATATGGTCCCCTGAGCACTGCCAGGAGTAATTTCTGAGTGCAGAGCCAGGAGTAACTGCTGAATATCGCCCAGTATAACCCGAAAAGGGGGGGGAAAAGCCACCTGGGGTCAGAAAAGAATTGCACTCCATCAGTTTCATTTGTTCATTTTTTGGTTGGTGGTGTTTGGGGGTCACACCCAGCAGTGCTCAGGGCTTACTCCTGGCTCTGCACTTGGAGATCACTCCTGGCAAGCTCTGGGGACCATAGGGGGTTGTGGGGATCTACCCAGGTTGGCCATGTGCAAGGCAAACACCCTACCCACTGTACTATCTGGCCTGTTTCTTCCTTTTTGCCATCTTTTAAAGGCTTTATTTCTATTTCATATTCATTTTGTACAGATCCTAAAGCACCATGCTTTGTTTCACTTTAGTATTTTCACAACTTCTGTAGTTTTTTTTTCCCCTGAGGAAACACTGTATAGTGCCAGTTCGTCTTTTCACAGGACTGTTCCAGTGCTGTTGGCGTTGTGTCAAGTGCAAAGGGACAACGAAAGTATAGTGCAGGGGAATCTCAGCACCATGTAGTAGACAGGGATACACACACAGGTGGTCACCTCAGGTTGAAGATAGTAGTGGCCTTTAAAGTGGGGGATGGTGTTGGACACTCAGAAGCCTAGTCTCATGAAATGAAATGAAAGTAGATACAGGAGTTACAGTCTCGTCCAATTAACGTGTGTTTATGTAGAGTACTTACAGCTTGCTCAGCAGCCCAAGGCTGTTTATGGCTTATGATGCACAGTGGCATCAAAAGCCAGGTCCATTCCCAGACAGGCCCGCTTGAAATAAACCTTCCCTTCACCTGTGCTCATGTATTTACTTGTCAGTTTTGGCAACAGCATCTCAGGGTGTCCTGCACACCGGGAACTGTCACCTCTTGCTCCTTCCGCTAGATTCACTCCTCTTCTCGAGGCAGGCTGCTAAATTTTCAGTATTGATTGTAAGTCCCATTCTCAGAGTAATTAGGAAGAACAGCACGATGTAGCAACACTTCCACTGGGATACTAAAGATTGTGGGGCAGGGGTGTGGGTCTTCATTATTAGGAACCCCTAGTCTCCAATGGGGTGACTGAGGGTACTGCGTGCCCATTAGCTCGGGGTTCGGGATGCACTGTGGGTCTACCTTTCTCTCCCCTCTCCCTTCTCTAACTCTTAGCCCCCAAATGAAAATATCTTTGTCACTATGATCAGGGATTGGCTTTGGCCGGCCCTGAAACGAAAGCCCGGTCATTCTGAGCTGGCATGAGACACACTGATATGGCTCAAGTTTGATTGGATTCTACTTATTTCAGGAGCATAGTATCCAAACCTGCGATCAGAAGCCATGCAGCAGTGTTAACTGTAGAAGTCACTCAGGCTCCCATGGCAGGCGGGTGCCTGGTGTGGACTTGGGAGAAGAAAGAGGTGCTCAGGCGGTGCTCTGCACTTTGCCCCCCACTCCACTGACCCAAATCTCCCAGGAGGGTTTTTGTTCTTGGGGCAGGGTGGCAGCCTGGCTGTTGGTCAGAGTACGGGAGCTGCCTGGGGAGGGGGGTCTCCCTGCAGCCAGGTCAGGAGAGTCCCGTTGCTCAGCACTGAGACCAGTGAAGTCGGGGGGCTGGGCCCAGCTAACAGGGAGCTTCCAGGGACCAGAGCTTCCGCACAGCGGTTCCTGGTCACCGCTGAATGTGACGGGCAGCTTTATTTAATTGCAGGCACCCCGGAGTTAAGTGCAGCTGAGCGGAAGGAGCTAGAGAACAAGTTGAAGGAGCGGGAGGAATTCCTAATTCCCATTTACCATCAGGTGGCCGTGCAGTTTGCTGACTTGCACGACACGCCGGGCCGCATGCAGGAGAAGGGTGTTATTAACGTAAGTAGAGCTGCTGCCACTTCCCTGGACTTGTCAGAGGCCCATGAGGGAGCGTGTGTGGGCGCCTCTTGCACGTGGGCTCCCAGCAGGGAGCTAGGAGGGTGGGGCTAGAACAGCTTCTACACAGAAAACCACTTTCTATTGTTTTTAAGTTTTTTTTAATTGGGGTGGGAAAAAGTTGGGGGACTGCATCCAAGTGGTGCTTGGGAGTCAAGTCCAAGTCTCTTGCATTGCAAAGCATGCATTCAACCTCTTGAGTTGTCTCTCCAGCTCTTTGTTATTAGAAAATAAATAGCTTTTTCCTTTTTCTATATCCATGATCCTCTTTCACCAATTTTGGACTTAGGTGACCATGGAGCCCTTGAGAGGCCTACTCTGTTGTACTGAGGAGAAACTGAGCCACTTTGGTCTCCTTTGGGGCAATGGCTAACTCATGTTTGATCGATGGATGAGCTGTTCTAGCCACCTGCTCATAATCTCTTGCTGACTCGAAAACAGCCTAGGAATTCACAGCGTCCCTTCCTGTCTCAGTGGCGCGTGGGGGCTGTCGCAGGCATGGGGGCTCCCCACAAGCTCCTGCACTGAGGAGGACTTGTTGGAGAGTAGGTACCCACAGAGTTGGCTCTGAGCCGAGCCCAGAGCAAGGATTGGGGTTGGAGTGACTTATCATTTTTCTGAACATAGGACATCCTCGACTGGAAAACATCACGAACATTCTTCTACTGGCGGTTGAGGCGGCTCCTGCTGGAAGATCTAGTCAAGAAGAAAATCCACAATGCCAACCCCGAACTGACGGATGGCCAGATCCAGGCCATGTTAAGGCGCTGGTTTGTGGAAGTGGAAGGAACGGTGAAGGTAGGTGGGCTTCTAAGAGTCCCTGGCTTCTGAGGACTTACACCCAAATATTCACTGGCACTATTTTACTTTGGATCATTCCTGATGGTGCTCAGGGAACCATATGGGAAGCCAGGGATTAAACCCAGGTCGGTCATCACTTGTAAGGCCAGTGCGCTACCCGCAGTACTGTCTGTCCAGCCCCTCGCCTGCATTACTGCTTCATTTCTTCTCCCCATATGAACATTACACATGTTGTTGTGGAGAGGGCATCTCCTTTGGCTCCCTTGATTCTTCAGCATATCCCGTGAATACTTTACTTACCGGAGCTTGTGCAGTAGCATGGTCCTGCTCCTGGCCACCCAGCCCTCACCAGCCTAAGCAGTGCAGCCAGTCAGCGGTTCTGGACAGGATCAGGTAGGTGGCTTCAGTAGCAGGGCCCAGGCCAGGCTCTGGGTTCGGTCCCCAGGAGAGTATGTTCCCCTGGGCACTGTGTGTGTGGGAGTGAGCTGTGGGATTAGGTTGAATACTGAGACTCTGAGGAAGGTTCCAGGTGAGAGCATGGTCCATGGCCTGATCCCAAGAGCTGATGCAGCAGAGGTCTGCTCTTCCCAGACCTGGCTGATTCTCCTGGAGCCTTTTGGGAATGCACTGAGCAGCAGTTGAGTTTTTTTCCCCCCACCATTTGTTTTGGAGCCCATACCTAGCAGTGCTCAGGAGTAACTACTGGCTCTGCTTGACGGCAACCTTGTGGTGCCAGGGATTTTGTCAGTGGGATGCAGGGCAACTACCTAAGCACTGTACCATCTCATCAGCCCCTGAGTTTGCTTCAAAAAGACCAGCTGGGGGCTGTGAAAGGTGGGATTGATGGGGTAGGAAGGGAAAGACACTCAGGCAGAGCCTCCAGGACTAGCACCCGAGCTCTGCTTTCAGATGTGAGCTGAGAGGAAGGGTTCACACAGCCTGCGGGGTTGCCGAGGTGAGGACAAGTGATCAGGCTCCACTTCCTACACAGACCTTGTGTCTTTCGGTTCTATTTCCGTTGGTTTTAACTGAGAAAAAGAAGGGAACCAACCTTTATTGGCAATGTATATATTAAAGATGAACCATAGATGCTGGGAATGTATTTGTTCCTTTTCCTGGAAGCTCTGGGGTGAAAACTCACTTGCTGCTTGTCCCCATGGCAGATGAGGCCTCCTGCCTCTCCCAGGCAGGGCTAAACTCTCTGCTCACTGTTCTCAGGGCTCTGTCCCAGATCTGCCGACAGTTTGCAAGCCAGTGAGTCAGGTGCTTCTAGGAGTCACCTCTGTGTCGGTCTGCCCATTTCTTTACAATTGAAAAGCTTCTTTGGATAAATATTTCACTTGTGCAGTGGGGGAGTGCAGCCTGTGCGACACTTGGTTCAGGCTGAGGTCAGTGTGTGGCATCATAATTGAGTGAGACAATTTTGTCAGTGGCTACTGGAGGCTTCTAGTGGAAGTTGGCATTGAAAGTCACGCAAGTGTAAAATAGGAGGTTGTTCTCCAGTTCAGAGCGGCCGGCCAGGTAAATGGAGTGTGTGTGTGTATGTGTGTGTGGCCAGGAGAGACCCTGCTGCCTTCCTACCACATTAGTCACTAATGGACATGCGTGGCCTCAGTGGGCACGGGCATGAGGGGAAGGAATAGCTTCCCTCCAAGCATGAAGGGAATAGACGGTTGCTCCTCCACGTCCTGCTCCCACGACAGAGTGTCCGAGAAATAGGTCGTTGCCATTTCCTCCTAGAAAGAACTATTTCCTGGCTGGAAGTCATTGCGGAAGCCAGGTCTGACCCAGAACTCGGGAGGAAGCTACCTCAGGACCCACGAGAGACAGCAGCCCTTGGTCCAGGACAACAATGCCGGGTGCTCCTCAGTTTGTGCCAGGGACACGGGACCTTAACATAGCAGCTGCTTTTGTTTCTGGAACAGGCTTTGCACCCTGACGTGACCGCTCTCCCTGCTATGGTGAGGGCAGACATTCAACTGTAGGTGTGTTACCCTGCTCGCTGTGCTTTGCTCCCAAAGACTTTGGTGTGTTTGGGGGCCACACCCAACAATGCTCAGGGTGTGATGCTAGGATTCGAACCTGGGTCAACCACAGGCCAGGCGGGTGCCATCATCTCTCTGGGCCTAGGTCTGTGGATTTTAAATAATGGAAGCAAGCATGGAGCACAAAGCGTGGTGTGCAGCAGACACCAAAGGATGCCAGTTGCTTCCTCCTCTCTAGGACAGCATGTTAGGAGGAAAAATCTATGATGGAAGATGTCAGAGCATTTGACAGGCCTAAGTTCTGGGTGTAATCCCTTGAAAAAGAAAACTGACCAAGGGGCCAGAGCCCTAGTGCAGTGGGTTGCCTTGCACACAGCTGGCTCATGTTCCATCCCTAGCACCCGGAGCATCACCAGTGTGACCTCCCAACACAAAGTTTAAGGCACAGAGCCTAAACTTTCAGGAGTGGCTCCCAAACAAAATTTGATCGAGGTGTGTCACTTCACAACCTGGGCAGGAGGGGGCTTGGTTCTTGGAGCACAGCAGACTCTCAGGAAATGTCCTTTGATTTTGCTTGTTCTACTCTATTCACAATCTAGGATGTCCAGTGCATTCTTATTTTCTGGATTTCCACATGAGAGGGGTGATCAAAGAGACCCCTATGGGCCAGAGCAATAGTACAGTGAGGAGGGATTTGCACGCAGCCAACCTGGATTCGATCTCCGGCACCCCATATGGTCCCCTGAGCACTGCAAGGAGTAATTCCTGAGTAATTCCCAAGTGCAGAGCCAGGAATAACCCCTGAGCACTGCCAGGTCGGACCCAAAAAGAGAAAAAAAAAAAAAGAGGCCCCCGTAAGTTATAAGCACTGTAGCCAGGGTCACAGAAGTGCCACTGTCCCCAAGCTAGTAAGGGAAAGGTCTGAGGCAGCCAGCAGGGGAGAGATGCTGAACCTGTGGGAGAGTATCACATGGCCCTGGGCAGGCTCCCCTCCCCCAACTCACAGGTGGATGGCCAGCTCGTTACCATAGGGCATGTCATCAGGCCTCACATTCTTCTGGCTGTGCCCTGGCCCTTCATGCCATTGAACAAGGAGGGCTCAGCAGCCATCGGAAGCTTAGAAACGAAACTTTTCAAATAGCTCATTTAGATTTTATAAGATACACTAATTACTACATGACAACTAGTGAAGCTGAGTAGTGTGGGTGATAGTAATCTGCTGACACAGAATGTGTGCTGAACATTTATTGGCATTAAAAGTGTTCTGATTGGAGTGTCAGACGTATGACAACAGGCCTGTCATGAAGTTGCCCAGCATTTCACATTTGCTTCAATTCACACTGGGAACAATCAGCCACATTTTCATAACTTTATGGGAATGGGGGTTGGCTCGATCTGGTTATCTGGAAAGATGGCTCACAGCTCTTTGCTAAGAGGGCAAAGAAGAAACTGTAGACTCCTCAGTGCAGCTTGTCTGGGGTGGGGCAAGTTAGCTCAATCCCAGCAGTTGTGTTCATTGCCTCAGTCTGCGACTCTGGCTAAGCATGCCTTCCAACAGGATCTGCTCCTCCTTTGCCACCATGTTGGTCGAAACTTTGGGGGGGTGGGGGGCGGCACTGGTGGCGATCATCCAGTTGTAGTTCGAACAGTAAATCTTTCGTATAATGAGCCCGTATTTTCAAAGGAGATACTTTAGAACAACAGCTCAAACTTGGAGTGTGCTGCTCTAATCCTGTCTGGGAACTTTAATGTTTAAACACCTAGCACATTCTGTGACTGCAGGAGGGAAGGCAGAGGAGTTTTCTCTGGAGGGTAGCTGGCTTTCCAGTCTGAGCATCGTTAGAAGCAGGCATCTCGTTAGCTAATACATTACACCAATCAAGGAGAGTTATCTTAAGCCACAATTAATCTGCTCCCTGGCATATGTTGATAGGAAAGCATCATGCTGTTTCTTAATTAAAAGCAAACGGATTAAAAATGATTAATAAGAGTATTAAATATTCTCCTAAACGAAAGGCTTTGGGATTCTTGAGTAAATCTAGCCTTTTCTTTCTTTCTTTTTTTTTTTCATTCTGAGCCCAAGAAGCATTCATTGTTTTGTTTATTTCCTCCCGTAAGCCCCTCCTAAGTAGGGGCATGTGCTTCTTAAAGTGTTGCTCACATAACTGACTGCGGAGGTCAGAGAAAACTCACCACCAGTCAAGGGTTTCTGAACACGCAGTGACCACAGATTAGTTCCCAGCCACTCATAGAGTGAAGCCAAGGCGTTCCTGGCAGTGCTTGCCCGTGTCCTTGAGCAAAAAGGGGTGGTGAGTGGGAGAAGTCCAAGCTAGAGCCCAGTGCGGGGGGGGGGGGGGGGGCGGGAATATCAGGGTTCGCCTTCCATCTGTGGGGTATGCAGGAGCCAAGGCTTAGTTAAGATGACCGCTCCGCTGTCAGTTACATGACAGTTCCCTCACAGCAGAGCCAGCAGTCGTGACTGAGGCACCGAATAAGAGCCCTGCTCTGCCCCTTCACCTGTGAAGGGTGCCTGAAGAAGCACTGGGGACGGGGAAGCCACCGCCACCTAATCAATAGTCACAGCCGACTCACCGGCTCTTTGGGGTAGGGGATGTTCATACATACATAGTTTTGAAAGAAATGGAAATGCCTCGCAGTGCCATGACTGCCCTTGAAGGCTGACAGACACCACTGCAGACCCCCGTCAGCTGCAGGCCTGGCACCTTGACTTCTGTGCTGGTTTCTCAAGCCCCATCTCAAGCCTCAGAGAGTCCCTAATGCACCCACCTATTAAATTACAGAGCCAAACTCATTGTCATTCTGACTTTGACTTCGTTAGTGATAACAGAGAAGGATAGCGCACCTTTAAATGACGAGCTTTGTGTTTAATTACCCAAACAAAATGACATAAATATGAATGAGCTCTAATGGTGGTACTTGGTTTTCCGGAAGCCATTAACAAAACGATTCCTAAATGATTTGTAAAGAAAATGAGAGGAGAGGAGAGCAAGGAGAAGGCTATTAGGTTTCTAACACGCTCCTGAGTTATTATGTAGTCAACCACCTAGGAGACACTCAGCCCAATGATCTTGAAAAAGAGAGGCAAGAGGTGGTTTGTGGAGTCTTTCCAGGTTTTAGATATCTTGACCCTTTTGAAAGCTAGCATAGGAAGTAAAATGGGGATTCCGTTTCTAACCCAGGGGCTCTACCTGTCCGTTCCCTCTCCGTGAACCAAAAGAGAGACTCCATGGCAGCGCAGTTCAGCTGCTGGAATAGCTACACTCTAGGAACCGTCTGGGTTCCCAGAAAGCAAGTTTCTCTGTGTGTGTGTGCATGTGCACACACACTGTGGGGGGAGGGGTCAGGAACACACACAGCAGGGTCCTGGCAGTGCTTGGAGGACTTTCCCTGGTATGGGAGGTTGAATCAGTCAGCCACAAGCAAGACAAGTACCTTATCCTCTGTACTTTCTCTCCGGCCCCATACGTTTCCCCTTTCAAGTACCTACTAAATCGCCTTTCCCTCCCAGTTAGCTCTTCATTACACGAATTAGGCTCTTAGGTCCATTTCTCTCACACGGTTACATTCTCGCAGCTCAGCAACTAGCCTTGAGTCTGACAAGAGAGTGGGAACACCAAATGGCGCTAGAACTACACAGCGCCCCTCCCCAGGAGAGGGAGGCCTAGGCCTCCTGATACCTCAGCACGCACAGTAACAGAATCATGAACAGCTTTTGTTTTGGGGGGTCACCTGGCGGTGCTCCAGGGAGCACCTATAACCCTGGTGGGCGGCGTGCAAGGCACTTAACCACTGTACTGTCACTCCAGCATTGAGCAGGTTTGGGAGTACTTGCTCCAGTTATGAAATAACCTGATGTCCAGCCCCTGGTATTTGAACGGAAGTCCTCTGTCTGCAGGCCTATGTTTGGGACAATAACAAGGATCTGGTAGAGTGGCTGGAGAAGCAGCTGACTGAGGAAGATGGCGTCCGCTCTGTAATTGAAGAAAACATCAAATATATCAGCAGAGACTATGTCCTCAAGCAGATCCGCAGGTGAGACCCAGGGTGGGAACTCATTTCTTTGGAATGAGGACTTTCAGACACTGCCTGACAATCTTTGTGCTTCTACTTAAGACTGCTTTTGTTGGGCCAGAGTGATAGGACAGCAGCGAGGCTCCATCCTCAGCATCCCGTATGGTCCCCCAAGCCCAGTAGGAGTGATCCCTAAGTGCAGAGCCAAGAGAAGCCCTGAGCACTGCTGGGTGTGTATGTGGGGGGGGGGGGGATATTGACCCACAGATAAAAATAGAACCCTGAAGCCCAATTCTTTCTCAGCTACTGGCCCCAGGGGCTCTTAGTTCATTTGCCCCGCTATTAGCTCCAAATGCAGAAACTCAGCCAGAAGAACAGTTGTGTGTGGGCACCCTAGGACACTACCTCCTTCCTTCCCCGCCCAGTGCCAGCTGTGTTCTAGAGCATTCCGCACAGAATAGAGGTGGGCCTTTTCAATTTATTTTTCATATTTTGGCTTGTTGCATTACACCCAGCAATGCTCAGGGGTTACTCCTGGCTCTGCACTCAGGAATTACTTCTGGCAGTGCTTGGGGGACCATATGGGATGCTGGGGATCGAACCTGGGTTGGCCACATGCAAGGCAAATGCCCTCCCCACTAGACTATGGTTTCGATCCCTCCCCCATCTTCAACTTTTTATTTGCAAGTATTTCCCTTACTGAAAAGCTGTCAAGCTGAAAACAGTAAAACAGTAGTACAAAGATCAAGTCTGAGGTCAAATACGTGTCTGGTTGGTCTCTCTCTCTCCCTTATTTTTTCTTCCTTTTACAGAACCTTGTATGGGTAAGTTACATAATTAGGCCCTTTCCTCCCAAGACTTTGGTGTGTCTTTGCTAACAGGGACTGCCTCTTCTATAACCACAGTAAAATGGTCCGTTTGAGTACATTGAACATGGCTAGAACATTGCTGGTTTGAGCTCAGCTGCCCTAGGGCCTGGTCACAAGGGCCACAGCTGGGGACATTGTGTCCATATGTCCCACCTGATGCTCGTTTTGATCACTTGGTTAAAATTTTACTCAGTTCCTCTACTAGGAGTAACTCATAGCAGCTCTGGGCAGTTCCTAAGCTAACTTGATCAAGGTGCCTCTGCCACTCTCTGCCCTTCACTCCTGTTTTCTTCTCCAGTTTGGTCCAGGCCAATCCCGAAGTTGCCATGGATTCCATTGTCCATATGACCCAGCACATCTCACCTACTCAGCGAGCAGAAGTTGTCCGGATCCTTTCTACGATGGATTCCCCTTCAACGTAGGAAGAGCTTCTTGCCCCTTCCCGCCCAGTCCCACCCACCTGCCCCTGGCCTCAAGGGCTCAAGCTGGAAACCTGTGATCGGAAGGCGCCAGAGACCCAGCACTGGAATCACAGTGGAATTTTGATTCCCAGAGCCCCGTTCCAGCCACACCTCCGAGGTCCAGTATTTATATCCCCGGGACTCGGGCCCTCTCCCCGGGAAGGCAATGACGGGTACACATGCGTACCATGAGGTCTTACTACACACAGCAGCTTTCCGGCCTCATGAGCCTGCTGCCATAGCAGCAGAGGAGGGCTGGCATGAGGCCCAGGGCCAGGTCCTGGGACATGAAAGCACCTCCACTTGGCTGTGTCTTTGCCCCCACATTCGTCCCAGCCCACAGCAGGCACAGGAGAGGGACCATTCTGCCTCCATCGCACCACACGCTACCTGCGCGCTCCACAAGAACTCAAAGATAAGAGTGAAACCCCGATCCCAGCAGCAAGCTTGGTTCCGTCCTCACAGAACAAATGGAAAGCTCTCTGGCCACAGGGAGCAGGGGCCCAGTATCTTGCCTGGAGCTGTTAGGACTCGGCGCTCTCCAGGGCAGCCCTCCCAGTCCCTTTTGGGTCTTGTATTCCAGGAATGTACACAGGCGGCAGGGCTCCCCCCTGCTCTGACACGCCATCACACCAGGAACTGGCCTTCCCCGGTGGGACCTGCATCCCCGGGGACATGGAACTCACAAGACCTGAGAATTAGCCACAACTCGCCATGGTGCTGCTGTCTCCCTGCTTCCTCGCCGGCCAGTGGCAGGGGCCTCTTCCACACGTGAGAGTTTATTTTCAACACCCACTTTATCCCAGGAACAAGCATACTGGGTGTCTCATTGGCTCTTCTGAAACAACAGTGGCAGGTGGTTGGGGCTGGGGGAGCATCCGATTCCCACAGTGCAGCTAATTGCATTTGTCACCGGTGACCAAGGAAGAAATCGCTAAGATATTTTAGAAGCAGTGGTGTGACCGCTTCTGTCCAAGCTACCATTGGGAACCTTAACCCTCTAGTTCACACACAGGAAAGCGCCACAGATGGACTGGTGTGACCGCCGCCGTTCAAGACTGCGAATGGGCACCACTGGGTTGGAGGCCTGGCTTGGGAGGCACCCTCGAAGAAGGCGGGAGTGGTGGGGCCCCACTCTCTGCCCAGGAAGCAGCACTAGCCATGACTGCTTTCAGCCCTATTCCACTCCACATTCTGCATTCTGCAGGTCCGGGTGCCCAGGACTGGAAAGCAGCCCCGGCAATGCCATCAAGGCAGAATGGACTGCCCTCATTTACCTCTCTCCCCCTACCCCTCCCCGCACCAAATTATGACACATTAAATGAAGGTTTCTCTTTGGAACTATCCACATTGGTCACAAAACAGTCCCCACTCGTCTCACCAATTCCGTGGACACGTTCCCTGAGGAGCCAGATGGATTCTTTTCACATTTTGTTGAAATAAACCTCCACCTTTGTAGAAGAGTCACCGTTTGTCATTTCAGCCCATGCCCAAGTCCCCGCCTTGCCCCCATTTCAGCAGCAGTGCAGTGACAGGTGACCCTGGCACCCCCAAAGAGAAGAGAACCATTGCGCCCATGGAAGGCTTGCGTTCTCTTGCTGAGACAGTCTCTCTCAAGAGAAAGAGATATGAGGGCTTTGGCATTTCCCAATCTCACCAGCCTGGCCAGTTCCATGGGGATGTTTGTCCAGAGGCTGACCACACCCAGGTGTTCTGAGCTTTGAGCTGTTGGCTTGCAGGATTTTTTTTTGGGGGGGGGGGGCTCTCAGGTAAGCAACTAGCAAACAATTTTAAGGGGTCATTTTAAGAGCCACTTTGATGGAGAAGTTTTATTTGCTTTTGGATTGCACCTGGTGATGCTCAGGGGTTATTCCTGGCAGTGCTTGGAAGACCATATGAGATCCTAGGGATTGAACCCTGGTCCACCAGGTGCAAGGCAAACACCCTACCCACTATCACAAGGGCCCCAGAAGTTTTAGAGTCTTTGAGCAACTGAGCCCCTTACTGGAATTTGTTTTCAGGCCATTCCTGGCCCTGTGCACAGGATCAAACCTGGCCTCCCACCTGCAGAGCATGCACTCTCCTGAGCCAGCTCTGGGGTTTGAATGCTGATTTTGAGTAGGAAAAAAAAGGCTCTTGGCTTTAGCCCTCCAGTCTCTCCATCAATCTCTGCAGTGGTGCAGGACAAAACACCCTTCTCTGTCATGAAAGGTCCCAGACACAGCAAGTGGCCTCTGCAATTAGAAGTATGGTGCGGGTCGGTCTCTATGGGACGTGAAGCGAAGCTAGTGACTCAGAAAGGAATCCTGTGGAAACCTTTGGAAGCCAGAGGCCTGCAAGACAGAAGTCTTAGTCGGGAGGGAAGGTACCACAGGCCTTTTCCATCCTCCCAAAGCAGACAGATGAGCACTGACCCGAGGCCTGAGCCACACAACCAGCACCTGTGGGTGCTCAAGGAAAAGGAGAGTATTTATGGGACAGACCCTGCCCTCAAAGGAACATTTCAGCTTCCACTGACATTACTGTAGGGGCAATGGCGGGCTCTGGTCGAGTCCCACAGCCGCCTACTTCCCCCACTGCAGAGCAAGACCTTGGGGACAGGTGAGGGACTGGAGAGATGGTATTTGATCCCTGAGCCTGCCAGGAGTAATTCCTGAGTGCAGAGCCACGAGTAAAACACTGAGCACTGCTGGGTGTTGTCCAAGCTCCCCCCACCCTTCTAAAATATATATATATAAACTTGGGGACAGATGCAAGTGCCTGGGGACCCCACTTCCTGTTATTCCAGTGTGAAAGGCTGGAAGCCAAACCTGCAGGGTAGTGAACCTGCACCTTAAAACTACCTCCTCGGGGTCTGTGCACACGGAAGGTAACACTTGGGCCTCTAGAGCTGCACATTGAGGCCGAGTGCACAGATTGGCCAACGCCTGACAGGCCTGCAGCTGAGAGAGCAAGGTGGGGGTTTGCAGCTATTCAAGGGACGCTGGGCGAAGACAGCACAGCACAGGCGGGTGGACAGGGGAGTCTAAGGAAGCAAGAGATCCTGAAGATGCCAAATGCTGAGCCAACAGACAAGGTATGTGCTAGAGAGAATGTACGGGAAGGCTGCGTATAAAGGCGGCAAATGGCCTTGGGTAGAAAGAGCACAGCCCTGCGTGCCAAGAAATCAGGCCCTAAGCTAGGGCAGGGAGCCCGGAAAGTGCGGGTGGTGGGATGGCAAGAGGTACAGAAGTGCATGTGACGTCAGTCCTCTCTTGTGCCTTCTAGCCCAGGTGACAAAGGTCACTGCCCTCGACTTTCTGCTTTGGTTTGTGGGCCACACCTAGAGGTCACATACACGCACACAAAACATTTAGTGGTGGGGGTGTTGGTTTTATGGGCCTATACCCAGCAGTGTTTGGGGGATCAGCTCTGTGCAAGGCAAGTGCCTTATGTACTACTCTTAAGCCCCCAAAACACTTTTTGGGGTTTTTGGGTGATACCCAGGGGCTTTGGGGATCAAATCCAGGTCAGCTATGTACAAGGCAAGTATCCTAAACTGACATATTAGACCTCCAGCTCCCCCAACCCACTTTTAGCCAGTGAACTCAGTGGAGTTCAAGATAAAGCATCATGATATAGAAGAATCAGCTGCATTTCACTCTATTCAAATACGGGCTATCGGGAAGTGAAATTTAAAAACAAACCCATTTACTATTGAAGAGAGTAAAATACCTAGGAATAACTTTAACGAGGGAGGTGAGAGATAGCCACAGTGAAAACAGCAGCATTGGTGAAAGAAACAGAAACACCATCAGACAGCCTGTGCTCATGGATCGGAAGGATTAATAATGCCAAATTGTCCAAACAACCCAAACTGATCGACATTCTAGGTGACCCTATCAAAATCCCAATGATTTTTTTCCTCATAGGAATAAGGTAAACATAACATTGTAACATTAAAATAAAAGCTTTTTTAAACACCCAACTAATAAAAGCAATATTGAGAAAACACAGAAGCTGTGGTGACACATTTTCTAGTTTCAAAAAAAAAAGATTACAACTTAATATCAAAATAGTAAAGTATTTGGCATAAAGTCCAACACAGAGATTGGAGAAACAGAACGGAGAACCTCGCAGACGCTCCTGCGTCACTCGGCATTTCCGCGCCGACAGGCCTCATCACCAGTGAGGCTCCCAAGAGGCTGCACCATCCGGGGACAGTGCAGTGTGATGTTCTCTGTAGCGCTCACACATGGCGATGAAAGTGCCTAATGACATTTCTCAGAAGGCAGCCCTGTCACCAAGCATGCCTGTATGGTCAATTAACTATGGCAGAGCAGCCAAGAACTTACAATGGGAAAGGAGAATCTTCTCAGTAACCAGTACTGGGTAAACTGGACCAACACATGCAAAATAATGAAAATAAAGACTAGTTTATCAGGCACAAAAACCAACTCCAAATGAATCAAAGGTTTAAAAGTCTGAAACTAGAACTTAGAGGGAAACAATGGCAGGTAGCTCCCTGACATTGGTCTTGGCAATTATTTTCAGTCAGACACTGTAGACAAAGGCAACAAAAGCGGGGGGCGGAGGGGGAGTGGAATTTTGATTTTTAAAGCCTTCTGGGCCAGAGAGATAGTCCAGGATGCTTGTGTGTGGCTGAGCTGGGTTCGATCCGTGGTCCTGCATACGGTCCCCAAAGCACCACCAGGAGTGATCCCTGAGCACAGAGGAGCAAATCCTGAGCACCACTAGGTGTGGCCTCAAAATTTTTGTTTGTTTGTTTGTTTGTTTTTTACTTTTTTGGGTCACACCCAGCAATGCACTAGGGGTTATTCCTGGTTCATGCACTCAGGAATTACTCCTGGCCATGCTCGGGGGACCATATGGGATGCTGGGAATTGAACCCGGGTCGGGCCGTGTGCAAGGCAAATACCCTACCCTCTGTGCTATCACTCCAGCCCCGTGGCCTCAAATTTTTTAAAAAATTAAGCTTAAAGGTGGGGGGGGGAATGTGAATTATATCTGATAAGAGGTCAATATTCAAGAAATATAAGGAACTTATACAAATCAATAATAAAGGACCGATCTGTCTTTAAAAGGGAGCGGGAGAGAGTTCCAGCAGGTGAGGCACTTGGTTTGTGTGCAGCCAACCCAGGTTTATTCCTACCACGGAATAGGATCCTGCAACCCGAAATAGTTGATGCTACCCCAATACAACAGAAAGTGGTAAAGGATCAAAATCAGACAGTTGGGCTTCAAAATCATGGATCATTAAGATGCTTTGGGGCTTGGGGTGATAGTATAGCAGATAGAGTGCTTGTCTTGCACACAGCTGGCCTGGGGCCAATCTCTGGCACAAGTGATCCCTTGAGCACAGAGCCAGAAGTAAGACCTGAGCACCACTGGGTGCAACGCAAAAAAAAAAAAAATAGTGAAATGCTCATCAAAACCAAAAGATACCCCTCACGTCTGCTGTAAAGGCTGCTGTACAAATGATAAGGAAGATCAAGCAAGGCTGTTTAGGAAAAAAGAAGCCTTGTGCACTGCCAATGGGAATGAAGATTGATGCCGCCCTATGGAAGAGTAAGGTTTTGTTTTTTAAAAAAATAAGGTGACTACTATGATTCAGCAATTACAGTCCAAAGGGAACAAAAACAACTGGTTTGAAAAGACTATTCACCTCGGGGCCAGGCCAGCAGTATTACATGGCTCAGAATATGGAAGCAAACAGTGTCTCCATCCATGGGGAAAGGATTAAAACGTGCAATTTCATACGTACACAGGAATATTGTCAACCTTTTAAAGGAACTCTTATGACAGCACACCTGGCTTTGGAGGCATTATGCTAAGTGAAAGAAGTCCGAAGAAAGATAGAAACCATGATCTTACTTATATGTGGCATCTAAACAAGAAAAAGCCAAACACAGCTTGCCAACGGAGGGCAGAGGGGAAATGGCGTAGGAACTCCCAAGGCACGAACTCCCAGTGAAAAACAGTTCAGGGGGGTACGACATGTAGAATATAGTTATGTACGTATGTATTGATACTGAATTTTGTATCTCAAAGATCCTAAGAGTAGATCTTAAATTTCTCATTATATTGTGGTTGGGACCAGAATCTTAGAACAGTGGGTAGGGCTTTTGCCTTGCTTACTCTGGTTTGATTCCCAGCATCCCATATGGTTCCTGAGCCCTGCCAGGAGTGATTCCTGATGCAAAGCCAGGAGAATGCCCTGAGCATTGCTGGGTGTGGCCCCCAGACAAAAATGTGACATGGGTCTTACAGACTTACTGTGGCACTTCATATGTATGTAGTGCACTAAGGTGCACATCTAAAACTCACATGTCAATAATATTCCAATTGTTAAGAGTGCCATTAAAAAATCTGTCTCATATGAAATGCTGAAGACTGAGAGATGGTTCTACATGGGGTTTTGAAGCTACACAAATGAACAGGCATTGGGAACAATAACATGGGC